ACAACTTCAACACCCTGTATCTCTAAAACGGTGCCGTTCCAGACCTATGTTTATAAGGCAAACACATATTATTTTAAAGAGATCTATATCTTCCCTTGAAGTTTCCTGCATAAAATTCGGACCACCCTGTATAACCTTTCAGCCTATTGAAAATATTTAACGAAAAAAGTATAGTTGTTGATATTTTCGTGTTTTTCCGATTTTTTAAAATCCGTCAATTTTTCTGCCAACTATACCTCAAAAAGTTTTTTTTTGGTTTTTGCTGTTTTTCTGCCCTTAAGAGAACCCCTTCCCTTCAAGCCCCAGGCCCCACCGAGGCTTAATCCGGCGCTGCCCTGTACTGTTAATTATAATCGAAAAAAAGGTGGGGCTATAAAAGTATAAGTTAGACAAAGACGGAGTTGATTATCCATTTGATATTTTGAAAAGAGTCAAATTAAATACTTTTTAAACTTCTAAGTAATTATTGCTTTCTGTCTACCTCTCCTCTATCTTACCTGAAAAGTGTAGAATTGGAAACCTGCTTACGAGAACACCTAAAGGTAAAAGAAAAGAGAAAAACATTTTCAAACACTCCTCCATATAACCTATTTTACAATGCTGTAGTAAAAGTTTTCCAAATAATTGAAAACTTAAAAATGCTGTTGTTGTTGACGTGGAAACGGCAACAATGTGGTTATATCCTTCGGTCGCTCCTCAAAGGATTTATAAAAATAGCACAATCGTAAAAATGCAGAGCACCCCATACGGACATTCCAAGAGCGTAATACTAAAATGTAAACGATATCTTTTGCAGTTTTGTTGCATTTAAATAAAACTTTCTTTAACTGGGGCGAATACTGTTAAAAAGGCCTGAACATGAATACAAAGAAATGCATATCTGCTAGTAGTGTCGGATTGGGCACAGGGGCCAAATGGAGATAACACCTGAGGGGTATAGGTGCAAAAACCGCCAAGTCACATTCTTGTAAAATCTGAGTTAGGTAAGGGGATTTGTTCTTTCTAAGTACGTGGATCAGTTGGAATATAATTTAGGTGCAACAAACTGTTAATAATATAAAGGAGAAATACTCATATAACTGCAAAATCTGCCTTGTCCAAAGACATTTTATTGCAAACCCCGCCAAGTTCGCCCTGACCAATTGTGAAACGTTTGGACTGTCACTTGTGTCAACGAATGACTCTTCGGGCGACAGTTTCTCCAGAAGAGACAAGTGGAATGTAAGTTTGTTTTTTGTATTTTCTTTGTGTTTTCTATAATATAACGATAATATAAACAAATAAATATTTTTTCATGTATTATTGGTCTACTGTTATTCTATTAACTGAAATATAGAAAATTGGGTTGTTTTGGAATTTGCAGTCAAAGTTTGTTGAATTTAGCTACAAATCCCGCCATGTCTATAAATAAAAACGATTTTATGTGAAAACTGCAGCTGAAAAATGTTTCCTATTATGCTTGCCTGAGACAGACAGAAAAACAGACTGTATAAAAATATAATTAAATCAAAGAGATAGGTGACAATACGGTAATAATAATCTGTATCAATTTTTGACATCTCCTGTAAATTGTTGTAAATGTGACTGAAAATAACTATACTCAGTGAAACAAAATCCAGAATATAAAATCTTAAACAGAATTCAGTCATTTATTTATTTCAGCTATAGTCTGTCTAGAAATGAAAGAGAGTAATAAAAGCTCATTATGTATGCAAATCGAAAATAAATGTAGTACTGGTTCTTATATTCAATATTTTTATATTATGCATTTTCGGTATAGATGAGGTCTACTTTTAACAAAATTTTGTGCGATCGGACTGTACTAAATTGTAGCAGGTAGCTAAAATTTAATCCCCGATAATCCGTCTTTGTCTATGCCGCTTCAATTTCTCGGTCCATTTCTCTTATCAGTAAACAATATAAAAACAGCATTTCAAAACATGAGGCTACTTTAAGCATCATAACCGGGTTAAGAGGGTTTTTAGTAATTCAAATAAAATTATTCAATATTATTATCAGAATATTTATTTAAATTTAATGAATAGACTTTTATTCCACACAAAAATATATGTATTTTGAAAATTCAAATTATGGTGAGTAAATGTAGTGTTGTATAAATGTACAATAAAGAAAATAAAAAAGTAGGTATATTAAAATTCATCCTCTGAATATTCTGATGAATTATCTTCGTCTCCTAGATTGATAATGATAGGTTCCACAGTAACGTCAATTAAATTATCGAGTTTCCACATTTTCTCCTCTTCTTTTTGTACATGATGTATACATCTTTGCCAGTTATCTGCAGTTACTCGTTCCAAGGAATTTTTTAACAAAATTTTCACGTCACTTAATTTAAACGTCGTATTATTTCGCGCTACATCTCCTTTTACCTGCGCCAAGACTAATTCGATTGGGTTAAGTTCACAGTGATAAGGTGGTAACCGTAGTACCGTTATTTGGCGATTTGTTGCCATTTCATTGATAACATATTTTTTCTGATCTTTATTAAGATTGACAAGTGTCAAAAGTTCCTTTTTCACCATATTTGTTTCAAAAGAAATGTTTTTTCCGGATAACCATTGAATTATATCGGCTTTCCTCCAAGCAGTCGTAGGCGTCGGCTCGGTCTGCCGTGAATGGTAACTGGCATTATCCATGACAATTACAGACCCCGGAGGAATAAGATCCAACATCTGTGTAAAATACTCTTCGAAAACATCTGCGTTCATGTCTTCGTGATAGTCACCTGTATTTTTATATTCAAATAAAAGTAAACCGCCATCTACAAAACCACTGGCACTACCTATATGTGTCACTATTAATCTTCGCCCTTTACCTGAAGGTGCCTTGAACCCTGCTGAAAGTCCATCCAAAAATGTTTGTCGAAAACTTTTTACATTTTTATCTTGCCATACTTTTGTTACAGTACTCGTTGACCCAAGTTTCGTCTAGATAATAAATATTCCTCCCTTCGTCACGGAATTTTCTAATTGATCTTAAGTAGGATCTTCGCCAACAAATAATTGCATCTTTATCGATAAGAACTGACTTCCTGTTCTGCTTTTCCCAGCAAATATTCAACTCTCGTAAGACGGCCCATAATTTGCTTCTACTGATTTTTGGCAAATCGTTGTCATCTGAAAGTTCACTTAAAATTTTGTTTAGCGTTGGTATTTCTTTTTTAAAATAAAATGAGTGTACTTTAGTCACTAAACACAAGTCGAATTTTACTCTACTGCACTAGCACGTCTTCGTATATTCAGCTCTAAGACTGGATTGATCTGTCACAATAGACTGGCTCCTGCTCTATGATGTGTCCAGTAAAATATACTAATGTGTTAGCATTAGTGTTACCCGATAATTACCTGAAACGAAATATTACCACGCTCATGGCCGGTTCTTATCTCGGGGTTTTATTACTCTCTTTCATTTCCAAACAGAGTATAGTATTCTGTTACCGCTAGGCGTTAAATTAATATTTTATAGCGCTTTAGGTTTGCAGTTTGTAGATACTTGTCAAAAGATGTACCCTTATAAATCTTGCATCATTTCTTACCTTTGAGTAGATTACACTTAAAGTACAACTTTGTTTCGCCATTATACTGGGTGGGTGTCCCAGAAATAAGTAGCAAAATCCTAACAACGTTTTTCACTTATCGCAACTTTTGTCAAATACATACATACATTTTTACAATAGTACATACAATACAATAAATTTTTTCAAAAAATCACGTCTTTATCCGGCATTTTGTACCTTTTAAAATCACGTTAACAAAGAAATATCTGAATAGCGTACGTGAACGTTTTCTTAATACTTTTCGCTAGCCTAAATACTATATCCCAGCACTAATCGACTTGCTTTAGTGGCAGATAACTAGAATTGCAATAAATTATATTATCTGCAAAATTAAGAACTATCCGAGGAAAAATATTAGGAAAAATTGTTAATTTTGATGAGTAATATGCGTGGTTAAAATTTAGGCACTTATTCCTAGAACACTCTGTATATACAAAATCAACACGTTACACGTTACAATTTTTATTCAAAAATTTGATTGATCCCCTCGAATTGTTCCTATGCTTTAACGGTATTGTTATAAGGTCAACAATTTCCTGCAAACGCTTAATGTCGATGTAGCCAGATATATCCCAAGTAACATTTTTTGTTTTATAACAGTTGTAAGTAACTGTCATCAAATAATAATCGAGAGTAGTATAAACCTTTCTAGACATTCTTGGCAACTATCATTTCTTTAAGTGCGCTACTCTGGATATTTATAAATAAAACCTACACACCTACTCAAACAAGTTTGCTCTGAGTCAGGTATTGCTGGGCAAAATTGAGAAAAAATGCATTCTACTAGAAGGAAAAAGACGCGGCAATTTGGGATAGGAACATTTCCCTTGCCGAGCTAGCTCAGATGCAAACTTATTTGTGTCAGGACGTACGTTGCATTACCTACTACTATAAAAGTTGTATAATCGTTTCCATTATTTTTACAAAATGCGATGACTTCTTTTCTTGACTTCAGCTAAGCTGCAGAATTGTAGTAAAAAACATTTCAGGAGTTCTTTTGGAAATCATTTAAACAACTTCACGCATGCTCCTTTCGCTATATTTCTATCTTCGTCGTAATACTTATGATCCTTCTTCCTTCAACAATAAGTAGAATTGTTCTAGGTGACGTAAAAAATAACTTCTGTGTAGTAAAGTATATGCCTGACTAAGTAGCTATATAAAGAAGCAAAGTTGGACGATATTTTACAAGATTGTACTTGATAAGTATGGCCTTAATTAATATCAGTATCTCAAAATGTATTTCCTAATTGCTTAAAAATTTCTAAGGTAGTCCCAATATACAAAAAAGAGGACTATAATGATCCATCTAACTACAAACCCATTTCTGTCATCCCCTATTTTGTGTGTCTTAGTATCTTAAAGAATCAGTCAATTATTTTGAGAGAGAAAATCTTTTTAATAATAATCAATTTGGTTTCAGAAACAGCCTTTCAACAACTCTAGCCATTGAGAAACTGACTAGTGTTATAAATTCTGGCTTTGAGCAAAGACAATTTATGTGTTCACAATTTTTAGACCTTACCAAAGCTTTTGACTGTGTGTCCTATGAAACTCTTACAAATAAATTGCATTACTATGGCTTTACAATTCAGAGTACCGATTTAATAACATCATATCTTACCAATAGGCAACAATATGTAACCCAAAACAATGACAAGTCTACATATCTCACTCTTAGTGCAGGAGTACCACAGGGGTCTGTGCTTGGGCCTGTACTATTCCTGATTTACGTGAATGATTTGTTAAGTTCCATTAATAATTCTCTATTAACTATTCAGTTTGCAGATGACACTAATATCACGGGTCAAGGTCTTGAACTGACCGAGCTTCTAGATCGAACCAAACAAGCTGAGTTAATGATGCAGGATTGATTTCTTTCGAATCATCTAAATCTAAATAGAGCTAAGACAGAAACCATGATATTTAGTTTGCGGGATATTGATCTCTTGGAAAATCCGAAATCTGTCAAATTTCTGGGAGTATATCTAGACCCTAAGCTATTATGGAATCACCATACAACGCATGTTTGTAACAAATTATTAAAAAATCTGTGTTTGCTACGTAATTTGACTCATCAAGTATCAGTACCAACTTTGATTACAGCATACCATGGCCTTATTCATTCTGTTTTATATTATGCCATACTAATCTGGGGTCATGCTACTTCAGCTTGCAGTTATTTTGTTGAAAATTCTAACACTCCCTTGTGTATATATGTATATTACAGTGTTTGCTGTATGTAAAGAGTCATATCGTAATGTATCCAGCTCGTAGTGAAATTCACTGTCACGGTACTAGATATAAAGACATGCTTAATAATGCGTACCTGAGGCTTAGTAGAACAAGAAATGTTGTACTTAATTGTACTTAAAAAAACTGTCTCCTACTTTTTGCTTCCTTTGTACATGTATTTTTTTTATTAAAACTGTAGGAAACATGCACTGCCACAGAATAGAACTATATCCGAAATCTTTATGAATGTCTTAAGAAACAATTGAGTTAATAATAGCATTGTGTTAAGTACTATTATGTACCAAAGCCACAAAGGTGCACTGTTGTGAACAAGCCTACGTCTGAAGCTATAGAGTTACAGGTTTTGGCCTCGTATTAATTTTTTTTCGTCGTCTCTAATAATTTAACTTCGCGTTGTTAAACTTTGATTTAGTGGCACTTTTTGGATTTCACATTTCCCTACGTCCTCGAAAACTTCACTCAGTTACTTCACGTCTACTTTTGCTTCACAACCGCTGATTCAATATCTCCGAGCAGAAGTGAAGAATTATGTTCGTGAAGTATTTGCGGACGTAAAATAATAAAACATCTAAAAGTGGCACTTTTCGTCGATGAAAAATGAGTTTATAGAACTGCAATTTCAATTTTAACTTTGCTATTGAGGGTCCAAAAAAAAATATTAGGAATGTCTGCAGGTCGGTATTGTTATTTTTCATCTATCATTACACTGGAAATTATTATAAACTTGTTTATAGACAGTATATCTTCTTGTTGTTTCTCTAGAAGATACTGGTTAATTTACAATTTGAAGATTTGCGTTTATCGGCATTCAGATACCGATAATCCTACTAATGAAAAATAATAGCATCATTTTGCAAACATAGTTTGCGGTTATATAACGATGGCGCTGTTTACTAATCAACTTCTGAAAATTACATAATGGTTATATAAAAATAAAGTAATAAATATCATTATTCCAGTACTAACAACAAAATATTAAATTTCGTTAGAAGTGTCAGCATTGTTTACACAACAAAGTTCGTTTAACTTTCCGATATTGTCATTGAAATGTGTAAATTTATAATTAGATAAAAACTGTAATTACACATATCTAATTCCATTAATTTATTGTTTGTGTAAATTAAATACAAATGATATAAAATAATCGTTTTCGTCTATGGAAATGTTGCTATGCGGCTTATCTAAAGTCAGACCATTTGGTGAACTTGCGGACCCCCTAAAATGCTGCAACATTACAAAAAAAAAACAGTTTTTGGACAGCTTGTGTATTCACGAAAAAAACTGCATTTTCGTCTCTTATTGCAGAATATACGACCGTTAAACTACTTTATATAAAAAAATTTGGTCGAATTAAAGTTAAAGTAAGTTAGTTTATAATAGTTAATAATATACTGGGAGTTCATGCAAGTCGCTTGTAGGTAGCTTTCACAAGTTAAGTAGAGTAGTAGGTCTGCTATGTCAGTTTATTTTACACAGACCCACATTTTATAAGTATACACAGTGAATTTTTATTAAGTAGTGAACAATATGGTTGCTGCTAACGCATTTTGTGTTGCTTCGCCGTAAATTAACACAATATCCACAGGTCATTTTAATTAAACATTTTTAAGATTGATCTAAACAATAAACCACAGTAATAAGAGTACTATGAAAACCTCAGTAATACTGAATCAATGGACAATAATTGTTATATCCAATCGGCTGAAGCCACCTGGGACTATTTTAATAAATATTTTTTCCCGAAATCTGCAAAAATTGTCATAATTTTCGTTATGATATCAATCATTTTTTGATGTGATATCAATACAATTGCATATATTCGCCAAAGTTCTCTGGATCAGTTGTGAAGCAGCCTGCATAGAAGATCTTAAAATTTGAAAAATATTGTTCTTAAATAGACAAGACAAATACATACTCTTATTTTCATTTTCAGTTCTTAACATAAATCTATACATTCATCCAATCCATTTACTATTTCAAATAGATTTTACCGCAAAATACTTACCATTGAGGATTATTTTTTGGTTAAACTGTAAGTCGTAACTATTTAAATAATGGACGAAGAGAAAAAAGATGATAAAATATTTTGTTAAAAAATAAAACTATAATATACAGGGTGTATTTAAATGAAGGGACAAATGATACCAGATTCCTTAAGTGAAAATAAGTTGATTTAACCGAACATACCTATAACCCAAGTCGCATAATAAAAAAGATACAGGGTGTCAAAGTCAAAAATAACCTTTCCTTAATAATTTCTAAAGTTTTAGTCAGACATGTTTGAAATTTTCTAGCGAGAGATTTTTTCAGGGTGGGAAAAATAATATAACAGACCCACAAAAAAAAGTGGGAGGTCCGAAAAACAAGGCCATGGTAGCTATATGTTTTTGGGGTCGCTGAATCCGAATCTGGTGTCCGTTTGACCCGATTAGCTTTGGTTCAAGGTCAGTTCAAGGTCAAATGTAGAGAATCAATTGCCAACAAAGTAAATCTACATCTATACGTTTTTGGGGTCGATGAATCTGAATGCGGTGTCCGTTTGACTCGATCAGGTCTGGATTAAGGTCAGTACAAGGTTAAATTTAGGGAATCAATTGCCAGCAATGTAAACCAATGTATCTACACGTTTTTGGGGTCGGTGAATCCGAATCCGGTGTCCGTTTGACCCGATCAGGTTTGGATTAAGGTCAGTTCAAGGTCAAATTTTGGAAATCAATTGTCAGCAATGTAAACCAATGTATCTACACGTTTTAGGGGACGCTGAATTCGAATTCAGCCCGATTAGCTCTGGTTGAAGGTCAGTTCAAGGTCAAATGTAGAGAATCAAGTGCCAACATATCTATACTAGTGATGTAAAATAGCATGCTATTTAGTTTTGGGTGATATATATCAAAATATATATCATTATATATATCAGATGAATTTTGTTAAAAAAAAACTATATTCAAATTAGTTTTTTTATATTGCTAATGCCTTGCTGATTAATTTGACACCAAATACATGTCATATATATGAACTTTAAGAAAAGTTATCAAGTGATCTTTATTTTTTTCATATTTAGATTGGAATTTTATATTTTTTTTATCATACTGACTTCTAATTTTTGTTGCGTGCTACTGACTGTTTATAAGCAAGTACGCTGTTTATTAGCAATTTAGTTTTATCAACCCAGAAATAAAAAATGGGAAATTTCTAGAACAAGAAAATTTAGTCTTTGTATATCACAATACGTACTTAAAAAAAATTAAAGATAAAAATTGAAATAAAAATTATCAAAAACTTATGATAATAAAGAAACTGCTTTAAAGTAGTACTTAAAAATCTGAAAATTTAGGGGTGTACTATAAATGGGGAGACCTAAGAGCGCACGTAATTTCAACTCACCCCTTCCACCCTATTTATTTTGCGATTTTCGGATTGTACGCGTAAAACTACCCCCAGAAACGCGTTCTTGGGGGTACGTCTAAAAGACCACCCTTCACCCCCTCTGCACCTACTAAGGTGGAAAGGGCCAGTTGAAATCAGGTTCGCTCTTAGGTCTCCCCACTTATAGTACACCCCTAAAATTTCAGATTTCTATATTTATTTTTGAAGGAGAAAAATGCTCATCGAAAAAACGACAAAATCCATACGAGGGTGGTGGTTTAGTTTTTGTGCGAATTCGGCAAGAACGCCCTTTCGGGGGTAGTTTTACGGATAGAATCCGAAACTCGCAAAATGAGTAGGGTACATCTAAAAAAACCACCCGTCACCCCCTAGGGTGGAAGGGGTGACTTGAAATTACGTGCGCTCTTAGTTCTTCCCATCTATAGTACACCCCTAAAATTTCAGATTTTTATATTCATTTTTGACGGAGATATTCCAGGTACCCAAGAGCTACTACAGTCCAACTCAAGCCTACCACACCACAAGTTTTTAGTTTTAAAATGTAAGGTTATGTTTGAAATTTGGCTTTATTCATGAAATGGCGGGAAAATTGACATATATCAGCTATTAAATATAATAGCTGATATGTATCAAAAATTGATATATATCAATTTGTTATATATTTTCACTCACATCACTAATCTATACATTTTTGGAGTCGGTGTAAACCAATGTATCTATACGTTTTTGGGGTCGCTGAATTCGAATTCGGGGTCCGTTTGACCTGACTAGCTCTGGTTGAAGGTCAGTTCAAGGTCAAATGAACAAAATCAATTGCCAATAATGCAAATTAATATATTTATACGTTCTAGGGGTCGCTGAAGCCGAATCAGAGGTCCGTTTGACCTGATCAGGTCTGCTAAATACTAAAGCATTTATGCGTATTAAAATTTGAGGAACAAATAAGATTAAAGAAAGAACGCTTTAGCACTGAGCTCGTGACTCTCGAGTTAATTGTTTTCATATGACACAATTCTAATATCAATAAATCTAACTAAGTAAGCTTTAAACCTATGCGTCAGTTAATGCTGCATGTACACTAATTTACACAGCAATCCCAACAACGTATACCTAGCTACCATGATTTTGTCTTTCGGACTTCTCACTTTTTTTGTGGGGTTGTGTAATCATTTGTGCTGTCGTGTGTGGGGCGCTCTCTGCAGGCAATGTTATGCATTAAGTATGTATTAACTTTTTTTGTCAGCCCCCGTATATAGCTTTTAGTAACAAAATATGATATGTTGGACTTTTTTAAACAAAAAAGGTATACTACAGTATTCGTGAATCATTTCAAAGGATTAAAAACATTGGAAGATAGCAAGCAAATGAGAAAATACTATCTAATAGTTGTTCTAATCGGAATAGAAGGAAATTAGTACTTTACTTACCAACTCGAAACTTCTTTCAACTCTCAGGAAATAAAGAAAAAACTCACTGTATCATACATACATCATTTTATTGTAAAATACATAATTGGGAGCATAATTTAAATACAAACACACCCTGCCACAAGACACTACACCACCTTGTATCTAGCCTTGTTGAAGGTGTGGTGACCCGCCGTCTGTAGTTTCAGCAGCTCTTCCTTGATCAACCTGGTGATCTCAGACTTGGCTTTGGACACGGCGATGTCCGAGGTACTCTCGATGGCGAGGTACAACTTCCTTTCACCCTCTGGGGGCGACTTACCTGTAGGCACGTAGGTGCCCCTAACTGTGATACCCGCTTCGGAGTATTCTGAAATCTGGGCTAGCGCCTCCTGTAACAATGAAAAATAATAAGTTTAAGATATTATGTATCTTTCGTAAAATAAATATTATGTATCTCAGCAGCCAGTGTAGTTTTATAAATCTTTTAGCTTTAGAAGTTAAAGTTGCTAAAAAGAAGCTAAAGTTGCAACTCTGGCAATGAGAATCAATAACCATTAAAATAATAATTTAAGCGTATTTGGATTCTCTAAAAACAGGTATACAGGGTGTGCCATTTAACACTCCCGCTGCATGGCCTACATTATTCTTATTAGCCAGTTTGTTTTTTCGTTCTGGTGACGTCATGGCATATTATTGACACCAAGTGCACAAAGATGGTCTTTAAGCTACAGTCAAAACATTTTTTCTCTACCTCCTATGTGAAGGAAGTTATAGCTCCGTATTCATTTGAAATGAAACACACTGTATACTATTGAAAAAAATAATACTAAAGTTTGCATCTACTTGTGCCAAATCTTACACAGAGTCCTACGGTTCCCCAAATTCAATAACAAGTTTAAAAAATCGACGATATAGAGGATATTTTATTTAGAAAATAAGTCCTGTCATTCTCAAAAGAAATGGGACACCCTGTATAATCGAAAATGTGCAGAAATTGAATTGAATTTTTCAAAGAGAAATCTTCAGGTCGAAACAGATTTTCGATATGTTTCTAAGTTGTGGAGTCAACTTTCTAGCTTTAATAACAGGGAGACAAAGAAAATTTTTTTCAAATATTTTTTAACAGAGATTTAATAAGCCTGTGCACTTTAATTTTAAAATATCGGCATACACGAATTCCCGTTTGCTATGTTTTTTTCCTTTCGTTAGGTTTAGGGATAATGATATATTCATTTTTATTAGTTTACGGTTTGCAGTAATTAGGTCAAAATAAAATCTTATTACTCTTGCACTTTTTTCTATAAAATGTATCCTTGAGGCAAGGTTGGCATGATATATATCAATGATATCTATCACGATATTTATTCCTTGGTATTATATATCATGATATTTATAAAAATTTAAATAATGATTTCTACTGGTTTAAAGCTGCTAAAACTATTAACAGATGGCAGAAAAACCGTATGCTAATCGTTGATGAACGTGTTTATTTATGTGATTCCCCGAATTTTTCAACAGAATAAAATTGAATGAATATTTTTATTTCATTATTTCTCCAGGTGTTAGTCAATTCGAGCAGATGTTGTGTGTTTGTATTTGTTTTAATATTTATGAAGTTTATGTTGACTTGGTGTAAATTGGTTAGTTTTCCTAGTACTTAATATTCACGCAAATATTTTTTATTAGATTCAGAATTTATATTTATTTTTTCGTTCTTGTTTTTGATATTTGGAACAAAAATATTTACTTAAATAGTTTCTTAATTTTATTTCGCTACTATAATATTATACATAAACAAATTAATTGAAAAAAATAAATATCAAGACTTGATATATATCGAATATATATCAAGATATGTATCCGATATTTGATATTTATATAAATATCATGATATTTGTCAACCTTGCCTTGAGGAGTTATAAGCATTTTAATAATGCTCAAAATTGATCCACTCCACAAAGAGGCATTTCAGAGAAAAAAGTGCAGGATTAAAAAGTTTTTATTTTGACACTATTAACACGTCTTAACTACTTTAACAAAAAAATCGATTTTTTGTGTGTGTCTGTGTGATTATTGGGATACAGCAGCATGGCATCGAAAATGGAATGCACCGGAATGTGAAAACTCATATGTCAACAATTTTCTGAGGTAATTTGTAGAACACAGCAATAAATTGATTTCTGTTCAAAATAAATAAAAAATAAATTATGAAATTTCACACTGATTAAAATAAACAACCAAATTAACAGGCAACACAGTAGTGTTTAAGCATTATTTTAACAAAAAATAAACCAAAAGGGATGTTTACTATGTGGTGGTACTTATTTTTATTTCATGAATGTCTGAAAACATCTTTTATAATTGTCTTATATTACTTTAAAAACAATAAACAGTAACGGTTGTCATAATATAAACAATTTATTAATTTTAATAACGTAATTAGTCTACTGCCAGTTCCAAAATAAGATATTTACTCCAAGAGTAAATTTAGCTTCATTAAATTATAAAATTAAGTTATAGGTAGTTTTATTTTAACTACTTTTGGGCAATTACACAATGGCTGTCCATTCTTTTATTTCAATATAAAATTCCACACATAATTTTTTATCATGAATAAGTAAAGTAGAATTAATTTAAACGAGCTCTAGTTTAAACTAAGAATAAGATAATCAACTACTTATTTCAGTTATCATGTTTGTATTAATATAAATAAAAATGACAATAATTTAATCATATAAACTATGACTCCATGAAAAATAAATAACTAAGTATATAAAAATATCATGTAGTGATATAATGTGTTGACATAATTAATTTGATATACCTACAGCAGAAGTCTATACTTATTTGTCAGTTTTGTAAGAAAATAAATGAAAGTGGTTTATCATATAATTTTAGAATAATAGATTTCTTTATTTAATAAATAATGTCCATTGCATATCTCCATGATCTTTTTTGACGATTAAGGTACCGAAGAGAAATTTGACCTTGATTTGACTTTGATTTTAAATCTTTATTTTGAAGATATCGACGAAAAACTGAACATTTGGATATTTTTTTATGGACTTTTTAACACTCAGACATTGTTAGGATACCTTTTATATTGAATTAAAAATACAATTTTCGCATGGAACAAATTAATGAATTTAATAAATTTGAAACATATCGCGCCCTTCCTTACATGAAAATTGCATTGTCAATGAAAATTTAACTGAACTGTTAAAATTTCGTTTGAAGTAATAGTTGGACATTCTTCTTTCAAAGCGCTTTTTAGAAAAATAGAAACTGATATTTTGACTAAAAGAAGAAAATCGCAAGAAAAAAATGTGCCGAATTAAAAAATGCAAAAATGGAAAATTCAACCATAAGAGTCAGGGATAATACGACCATAAATTTGAATTCTCCACAAAAAATATTTTAACAAAGATTGGAGCTTAGAAAATCCACCTCTCTATCTTCGATTAAAAAAATTTATAATTATTTATTATGAGAATGAAAATGACAAAAACGAAAATAACACAGCACTCCTTTTATTTAACGAATTACGTTAATTTTTTCGAATATTATGTATATCGTTCCCATTATCACAAAAAGACGTGTCATTAACATTACCGTAGAACAGTTTAAAGATGTTATACATTAAAAAAAGCTGCCCTAAACAGAAAATTGTAGTTACGAAGATATTTATTTTTAAATATGGGTGTTATAAAAATAATTTCATAATATGTTGTTTCGAAAACGCTTTATTGGGTTACCGCTATTGAAAAAAGAAAGAAAGAAATGACGTGTTTAAGCTAATAAGTATTTTTTTGTGGATGAGAAAAATCTTTCTAAATTGCGTTTCCCATTTCAAAAAATTAATGAAATTAAGAGAGATAATAGAGAAACAAATATTGAACCTCAGAATATTTTTATTATGTAATTGAATTAGCATATGCAGGGTGTCCGTTAATAACGTGTACAACGGAAGACCACATATTCATAGACAAAATAGGCAGATTTAGGCTATATCCGAAATCGCTTCGTTTGGCCGCTAGATGGTCTTAAAGTTCGTGAAATTTGGCAGGTACAATGACTTAAAGATTACAGTCAATCTACAAAATCAGAGCCTACTAGCACTTTGTTAAATATTGTAATATGGGTGGCAAAATAATGTAAACATTAAAAAAAAACTTCCAAATAGTATCAAATAAAAAATAGTTGTCATTACTGCCTGAAAGAGGAAAAAGTTATGAACGGATATTATCACCATACATTAATTTTGTCGGAGTTGTAAGTTTTAAAAAACACTGTATAACACCAAACTTTGAAACGTTTTGGGTCGGTTGTTCGCATAATCAAATTTGAGGCTTCTCTCAACCACAATAAATCTCGACATTTTTTGCATTTTGCTTTATCCCAAAATATGCCTGTTAGAAAAAATATTACACTACTTTTCGACCACATGCTGATATTTTTTAAAAGACAAATGTATCGAGTCCTATCTATAAGACACAACAGAAGTGTCAAAATGCAAAGTGGTGTGGATTTTTTTTACGGTACTTTAAAACATTAAACTAATTAAAACAAATTCAAGCATATTTCCTAAAAAAACTTATCCAATGTGGGAACAAAGCAGTAGTTTTTTTACGTGATTAGTCTCTGCCAAGGATTATGACAGGACAATAAGAATACAAGATATTTCTATGAATGGTTATATTATTTAACAATAAGTTCAAATATTAGGTATATTATATATTTGTATTCATTATATGTAGATAATAATTTTTTGTTTTTATTTTGAATAATTAGTTATTATTAGGTGTTTACTAGGTATTGCTGGTATAATTCAATGCTAGTTGGGGCAAGTAGTCCATAAAGTATTTGTCTCCCTCAATATCAACAGTTGGGAATCCTTTCTGTGCAACTAGATACATTTTGCATTCTGTGGATTAGGGTGGCACAAAAAAAATGAATATATTTTTTTCTGTCTCCTGTGAAAATATGTTAGTTTATCATGTTTTAAGAGCCCCCTTTTGAAAATTTTTAAAAATTTTCAAAATCGTCAAAAATTGAATTTTTTTCTTTAATTTATCTCTCTTTATTTTATCATTTTCTAGGTTGAAAAAAATCTCGATTCTGAAAATTTCAAATCGATATATTAATTTCTAAATGTCACTCATAATTATTTTAACTTTAAAAGTAGTGTACCTAAAATGTTTTCGAGCGACCTCTAAAAATAAATATTAACGAACTAATAATTTTTTTTATTGAATTTGATGAACAAAAGAATAGAAATAAATCACAAGACACTTAAAAAAATTTGTCAATGCAAAATTTACTACCGCACTATAAGTATCAAATATTTATAATTTTTTATTTTTTTTTTTAAATTTAAGTGTCTCGTGAT